AGCGTCAGAGGAGGAGCTGGCAGAGGATAGGGAGGGAGTCCCCATCAGGGAAGGCAGAAGAAGGGGGTTAGGAGCAGGGGCCAACCCTGTCCTGGGTCTCAGCCTCAACCACCTGCTGAGACCCCTAATGGTTCTTGTCACCACTTCTTCCCAACACCAGGCTGCACATGGTATGAGCAGAATCTGCTGGAGGACTGAAGGATTATTTGAAGATAGATTGATTCATTGAACCAGAGACTTCCCTCTTCTTTATAAACACATCATCCTTTGTTGAAGACTATCTCCTTTGTTAGATATTGTCCCAAATGCCTGACATTTAACTGTCACCACAGCCCCCGAGGTCATTCACTGTTAGTCACTATGTGTTACTGTGAGGAATCCAAGAGGCAGCCCTGTTCCGTTTGCCACACAAACAGGGTCTCCACAGGAAGGAAACACTCCTGGAAACAGATTTATTGACTGTCCATCAGCTGCCCTTTATGGTCGGTCCCTGCTGTTGTCCATGGAGAGGACGCACAGGCTTGAAAGTTCTGTGGTTGGTCCAGTCCTCTCTCTGCCCCCTGGGAATGAGGCATGATGTGTGGAGGTGGGCCACCACCTGAGGCTTGGAGGAGACTAGCAGGAGAAGACAACCCCCCAGAGCTGAGTTGGGGGTTTGGGGGAGAGGGGTGATTCTAATAGCATCACTGGGCGGTTGAGCCAGGCGCACACTGTCCTACTCCTCCCACAGGTCTTGTCCTGGGAAACAAGCTGACTTTCAGCCCCTCTATGGCGACCACAGTCTCCTGACAATCCAGCCTTCTGTCCTTGATCTCATTCCTGCCCCTTGTCTCCCACCATTGACCCCCAGCCCTGCTTTGCGCAACCCCACCCCACCACACCACCACCCCTCTCCTGTCCTTTTCTTCCATCTCCTCAGGTCACTTTGTCTATCAAGTCTTCCCTCTGGCTTTGTGTCCTCCTGACTCAGTCCCTTCCACTGCTTTTGCCATGAGCATCATGACTGTCCTTATTCTCTATCCCTCCAATGTCTCTCAAACTAAAGGATTCAGTCCCAGTCCCTCACAGTCCTGTTTGAGGTTGTGACACGGATGGTCCGGACATGTGAGCCGAAGCCTTTGGTGAGAGACCTGGGCCTTTGTTGCCTGTAAGGCCTTGTGCAGGATGCCCAGCTGCCAGGGGCTCTCTCAGCATGGTTCAGGCTCCACAGAGATATGGCAGGACAGACAGCTGCTGCCTCCACTGCATCCTGAGTGGGCCAGGTCCTGGGAAGTGCAGAGGGATCCTATCTGCAGGGAAGCCCCTCCCCTTAGCATCCTCTCCAGGGAGTGGAATTGTAATGGCCTGAGGACGCAGTAATCCCCAGCCCTCCCCTCAGCCAATGTCAACTTCAGTTGCTCTTCCCAGTAGTGACCCTGAGCCTTTCTCTTCTCTTATTGCATGGGCTGTCATTTCATGACAGCACTACTCTCGGCATATCCTTAGTCGATGCATTTAGGCTTTTGACGTTGAGATTCTGCTGCTATAAATACTACTGACTTTCCCTAACCAGTTGCAATTAGTGTGACCACTGCCCTCCCCTGAGGGACATACAGAAGAGAAAGGCATTTTCACTTTTGCAAGTGCTTATTGAACT